CTTGTTATACTCAATTTTCTTCAATAGAAATACGAAGTACTACCTGTCCAGAATCAATAACGTATATAATCCAGTCAGCATTTTCCTCATGTAAACGTTGTTTAATACATGCCATATCACTTGTATCATACGTATGTCCTCCATCAGATTTAACAATCGTCAGTGGCACTGAAATACCAGGTAAAAACATCACTTTTCGTCCTTCTTCTTCTATTAATAAATCTAAAACAACAATAATCGTTCGAAACATCATGAAAAAAATAGACGTAAACTCAATTATTCTGCATACTTTTTTGCTCTAGTTCTTCAACCAAGTCTTTCATCATCGATTGATAAAATGATTCACCACGATCAATCATTTCTATTTCTAACTCTTGATAAATATAATCGATATCTGAATGGATTTACAAGCATTATGCGTAAATTTGTGCTAAGCTGAAGAAGTGAATACAAAACATACCTCGTCGTGAAACTTCACAGATGAGTTTCCATGCGTGTATAATATCGGGATCATAAGATTGCAACCTAACGACACATTGATATGCCCGTTTTTGAAAATCTGGCTCATTATCGAAACGTTTTTTAGACGCCTAAATAAAGTGAAAAGAAAGTATATTTTCAAAGAATAAGATATCGTTCTTTCTACCTTATAAAATGATGATAAATCATGAATTGGCGGGGACTTTTGAAGATACTCTGGATATATATCTTGAAGATGTGCAATCAACATTCCAAATTGCGTGCCCCAATCGCCAAGATGATTTAATCGTAGCACATTATAGCCAAAATATTCTAATAAACGTGCGATACTATCGCCGATAATTGTCGATCTAAAAAAAAGATGTTAAAATAAAAATAATTGAATATAGTCCAAGGAGTCGACAGACAACAGCGGTATTGCAGATAATAGAGAAGCTATATTATTATTACATATATAGTATTACTAGGGATGCACCAAATCCAAAGCCATATTTGGGTTTTGTACCCAATAGTTTGGATTTGTGTTAGATTTGGGTTTGGTGAAGATTTGGGATTTTGGGTTTGTAATCTCAAACACTTTGGGTTTGGTTACCAAACCCAACGAAAGTATTATTATCGTTAGTAAACTGCTAGACATATGCCTATAATAAATTTCGAACTTTTCGACCGAGATTTTTGCGAAAAAATGAAAGTTGTCCAAAAACCCTGAAACACATATCAATCAGTTCAGTTTTCTATGCCGATTCCAAATATGACATTGGTTTTGCAGAAAAATGAGAGTTTAACAATGAACACTGCAAAATACAAGCGAAATTCCTTGTTTTTTTGCTACCTGTTTCAAAAAAATTAATTTTCTCAATAACGGAACAATATTTTCCAATACCAATATGTAACGTTGTTCGTGCTATTATGGCGAGTAGAATGATATAAAAATATTGGCTTCATCTCCTATCTGGAGAGACTTGTAGCTTTTAAAATTT